AGCAGGAAAGATTACCAAGAATGAAGGTTCCTTCTGCATATTCTCTCCAAAGACTAATTGTTGGAGTGTGTAGTGCGTTGGTTCTACTTTCTAACTTCATTAGAGTGAACTTGGAAAGTGAATTTAGCTACTTGGTGTCAGTATAAATTAGACAAATTCTAAAAGCCCACATTCTGTTTAATTTATTAATGGAATAAAATTCAGGCTATCAGAGGGTTGGGGGTCTGTGGACACAGAAGACAATGAATGATCTTCCTAACTCTTCTTTCCTCAGTGCACATGAACATCCTTGAATCAATACTGGTTCCTCAAATGTTTGTAGGAGGTGATCATTTGTCAAACCTATTCCAAACTTCATCTGCCCCGTGGCATAATTTTTGTTTATGGTTTAAATCTGTGGGTTTTCATTTCCTGTAGCTGAGCACACATAAAAGTTAATTTGACCTAGGTGGTTGAAAGGAACCTCTAGACAGGGGAGCAGGTAACCCTCTTCCCATTTCAAAGCTCTAATGCAAACTGTCAGGATATTCACAGACCTGATTAATGTGCCTAATAAACTCGAAGCAGTTCTCCAAAGCCTGGCGGAACAACACGGTGTGAGAACAAGAAAGTAATAGGAGGGGAAAGGGTGTAGTTAGCCTTTGAAATTGAAATAATAATGCAAAAGTATTTTAATCTAAAAGAGAAATGCCTGGAAAGTCTAGATGAATAAAACTATAATTAAGAGAAATGGAAATACAGTGCTCATCTGTATGATCTTGGAAAAAGTACAGATTCAGGCCTGCCCTAGACATAGGCACAAAGAGAAAGAGAGGACTAAGTGACTTAAATGAATTCTTGGGAAGTGAGCGGCTGGTAAATGTCAACCTCAGTTCTGTACCTGCACATACAAGGAACAGTGACACACCTGTGCTTGATACCCCACAGGTACCATAAAACTCAGCACGCCCCCTCTGACCTGGTGACCTTTTGGCTCTTCCCATCCTGTGGCCCCATCTCAGGAGCAGCGGAACACACCCCTTCCAGCTTACTGGTCCAGATGGAAGATGGAGAATTACACCAGGCTCTCTCCCTGCTCATCTCCCATATTCACTCAATCCTGCTGATTCTCCCTCCTACGTCTCCCTCACGTCCATCCTCCTCCATGCTCACTGCCACGGCCTCAGTTTAGTCCTCCTGCCTCGCACCCAGCTGTTGCAATCACCCACCCACCCCCCATGGAGGCCCCACCTTGAGTCCATCTCGCTCCACTCTGCTCTCTGCAGCCACAAGACTGGTGTTTCCATGATGTGTGTTGTTCTCATGCTTGTACTCCTCAGTGCTCATTCATGGTCAAGGCCTGGTCACCTGGACCTCTCCATCCTCATCTCCCACATCCTGCATCCCAGCTACACATACATGCAGTCCTCCAGCTGGTTGTTATGTTTTCATCCCCCTGTGTGTCTCTATGTTCTGCTTCCTTTGCCTGGAATATCTTGGCTGTCCACCCCTCTTTTTTCCAAATGGCTAAGTCTCATTTGCCCATTGGCTGAAGCACAGCTTCTGCAAGGGCTGTGAACTGCCTCCCCAGTGGGCGTTAAAGTAGGCCCCCATGGACATGTCTGGTTACTCATTTTTGAAATTGACCCTGAGGCTGTTAAGTCCTTGAGGTCAGGGAATCTGTATTATCTGAAGACCCTAGCACTTAAATCATTTTTTGCTGACTCCACTGTTGAGAACACAACGGCTTCTGCTCTACGGAAGCCTGAGTCAGGTGAGTGAGTCAGATTAACTGCAAGAACAGGGTCAAGCTGCACTAATGACATGTCTGACGATACTGATATGCCCCTGAGAGATTTCATGACTAATACTTACTCTTTTCTCCAACTTTTGAAGGGACAAGAGACCCTGCACAAGCAAGATGAAGGCCCTTCTTTCCTCACGTTTGCTGCACTGGGTTATTTGGAAAGCCTTGCTTTGCTGGTTGTCATGCAGGACAGCACCCAATGGGAGGAGGTCTTTAGGAAGGTTCTCCCCACCGTTCACAGAATCTGGTGGCTGGCCAGCTGGAAACACTGATGGTCTCCATTGAACTGGAGCTTTAGGGATCAAATGCTTTGACCCAGAAACCCCTGGATTATCCTGATCTTGATGTGGGTAAGGAGACTGGATAACATGGCATTCGTTCCTTAAAGCCAGGAAGCCTGTGCTCAAGGGCAGGAACTGAACAAGAGAGCCGCCAGAAGCTTGATGCATCCCTGTCACTCAAAGGGGAGAATGAGTCTCCAATTTCGAGAGGTGTGAGAAGGGCTTGAATCTGGCTATGATGGTTTAGCCAATTACTGAGAAGTGAGAGAGCTCAGCTAGGAATGTGCTGATACAGCTTCGAGTTAAGAACAGAAGGAAGAAGAAAAACTCAACTTGAACATGAAGAAAGACCCTCCCCCAATGACCTGATTCATCCTGCACCTGTCAGACTGCAAGGGCCAGATGAGACACACACTTTCCTTTTCCTCCCAAAGACAAGATCAGCGTGAGCTTCACCTATAATCTAATCGGGAACGGAAACTTGCCTTCACAGAGATGCATTTTAGAAATTGATCTGAAAGTGGAGGAACCAGAATTCAACTCATTTGCCACATACGGTGTCTAAACATTTTAAACACACACATTCATGCACACGAAACTAAGAAACAAACTCATGCGCTGACACCCATGAAGATTCCCTTCAGCCATAAATCCACTATTCTGCTCTAGTCTTGATAGTTTTCTTGACAAGAAGAGAAAAACATCAAAATTGCAGTAATGTTTGGCTTTCCACACTGCTGTGAGCAGTTCTTTTCAAAGTCTCTTGCAAAGATTCATCTGCATGTTAAATTAACAGATGTGAATTTGCAAGACCCAGTTAAGGGTAGCAATATCCTTACAGCCAGCAGACAGATATCAATAAAAGTGCTAAGAAAGAAAAACCAATGCAGCTATCAAATTAAAAAACAACAAGAGCTGATCAATATACACACGTGATGTAACTAGGAAGGAGGGATGCCAGATTTCCAGTAGACATACAGAAACACAGCAGCAAACGAGGGCTGTTCCATTCAGGCGGTCTCCGGAGTCTGTTTGGGAAGATATTTCACCAGACATCTTTGAATTCCTTTTTAGAAATTTTTTTAAAAAGAGACAGATGATGTAAAATATCAGTGTCATTACCTTTGTGGCTGTTGCCTTAGGTGTGGATATTGTTAGCACTGAGCAGAAATACTCAGCTTAATTGCCCGCCTGCCTCACCAGCTTTGGCCCTGTGTGATCAGTGTCGAATTTCAGAAATTCAACTGTATGCCCAAAGGAGAATCAAAAGAATGTGCTTCAGACTCTGAAGGAATAGTCCCAAAAGAAGTTCCACAAATGTTTTGAGCAATATATGCTTCTTTGGAACAAGGGCATAGCTCCTAAGGCACTTATTCTAAAGGGACACAGACTCATTTGGAGTTACATGCCCTGGAATGGTTGCTTAAAAGGGAACCAGTTACTTCTCTTAGGGAGGCAGTCTCTACCTTGGCTGCACATTGGAGTCACCCGGGGAGCATTACAAACTACTGATGCCCGGTCTCATCCCCAGAGAGTCTGATTTAGTTGGTCTGTGGGACAGACTGGACCCTGGGTGATTTTAATGCTTTAGAACTCCATGTTGTATGTTTATCGTAAGCACAGTTTACACATCTGTCCTCCCCTGCCTCTTGACATACTCATCTCGTTCTCTCTAGCCCCAAGTATAACGCTTGGGAGACAGTAGCTGCTTAAGAAATGTTTGATGAATGAATAATAGAATAGGTAGGCCCTTACTGTGTGCCAGGTGAGGTGACTAAGTCTCAGTTTGCCTGAAATAGAGGGGCTTCCCTGGATGTATGACTTTCAGTGTTAAAACCACAACCATCCCAGTTAGCACAGCACTGTAAATCAACTATGCTTTAATTAAAAAAAAGAAAAGAAAAGAAAAGAAAAAAAAACCCCAAAACTGTCCCAGGTAAACCAGGATGCCTGGTTATCCTAGTGCCAGGTCCTATGCCTAAAACTTGCAAAGGTTCGTTATTTAATCCTATCAACAACCTTATGAGGTGGATACCATTATTAACCCCGCTTTACAGATGAGGCAACTGAAGCAAAGAGATATTAAGTGACTGCCCTGACTTAGGCAGTGAGTAGTGAACCTGAGATTAGACACCAGTCTTGTTAAATCCAGAGTCCATGTACTTAATCATTATGTTGTCTTTCCTCCCGATAAAGCTGTGATTTTCTTTTTCCATTTTGTTTGTTGCTTTAGTGTGTATCTCTCAATGTCAGATTTCTGTGTGTAAGTAACCCTTGAAAATAAAAAGCTTCCTTGCTCCTTACATAGGGCATTTTTCAGTCTAGAGACTTCCAAAACTACAGAAGAGACCCAGCAGGAAGCCCGCTAGGGAAACAGAAGCAAACCCCGGAGCTGGCCTGAGGGGAGAGTGTCCACTTCAGCTGGCATGTCAGCAGACACAGAGCCGGCTGGTACCCCTGGCTGGAGCCCCCGACGCTGAGGAGCAGACCAGAGCAGACCCTGTAGATTTCTCCACCAAGGCAGTGAGCCCCTGAGAAAAGGACTTGTGTGTGTGTGCACGTGGGCACGTGTGGATGGGTGTTGCCCATCCCACAGTTGTTTTGTTCGTGTAAAGACCCCTGACCACAAGTAGGGAGGAGTCTGAGAACTAACTACTAAGCAGAGAAAGTACACCTTGAAGTAAATCTATCACTTCAAATCCTGCCATTAGGCTACTGAAATGCCTTCCAAAATTATTTTAAAATTCTATCAGCCACTATTTTAAACCAAAAGAACAGGAGTCTGGGAGAATTTAGAATACTAACAGTTTAGTAAAAACCTAGTAATCTTACCACACACAATCCCTTTACAGACCTGGAGACACAGAAGCTTCTAGACTTTTTAAAAGTATTTGTACAGTCTTTGTTCATCCCACGCGGGCAGCAGTGGTACTCTGTGAACATGAGCACCAGGTTCTAACCAGTGGACCTAAATGGGAGGGAAGACTAGTAACTAGTCTTCACTTGTTAAAAGAATACGCGAACTCCACGGAGAGATCACCGTGACTTAAGATGTTGCCGTGCTTAAAGGCCGGGAAGCAGTGGTGGCAACTTGGGTGCATACCTGAAGGGGGCTTCTCTGCGGAATCGCTCCCAGAACCGCTGCTGCTCTGCCTCGAAGGCCGCGCACCTCTGGCGGAGGAGGGTCACTTCATTCGCCTGCAGGGGGGCCACCTGCTGCCTCACGGTAACAGCCATCTTTTTAATCTTGTTCCATTTCTCAGGCAGCTCCTGCAAAGGAGACCTCAGTATGGTCAGACCCTCCCCCACAGTCCTGAGGCTGGACGCACCCGGATGTCTCCATCTCTGCCCCGATGCCAGGCTCTGATGCCGTGGCAGCGTTCGACCCTTCCTTGACTTGGCTCCCTGGATGCCCACTCTCCCGATGATCACCTACTTCTGACTCAACACTATCCTTCTTGCCCTCAACTTCTAACCCAGTAACCCTGGTCCTTTTCTACATTTTCTAAGAGTGCCTAGTTATTTCCTTTTATGCCCCACATCTCTTAGACCATCATAACATTCCTCAGACCTGCTTTTTTTTTCTCTGAATGAAGAATTCAGCTCATCCATAATCCTGGAAAAAGAACCCAAACACATCATCCACATCAGTTCTCCCATATATGTCCAGCGTTACAGTGTTTCGTATTTATTGAGTTTCAAGAAAGTGGTACACATTATACATGTGCGACACATTTAGCTCCAAAGCATGGACCTTGAGTAATCACCAAGCCCTGTTTTTCATTTACTTCAACCCACCTCATCCCACTCTGAAATCCCCAAACTTTCCCTCTATTTCTTTTATTAAGAAAACATAAACTTTGCACTGACTTCCAGCTGCCTGAACAGTGTTTCCGGCAATTCTTGTCCATAGGTCTTCAGCAATTCAATAGTCTGCTTTAAAGGCTCAAACAACTCATCAGTGCTGCTCTGTCGTTCTTTAAGAGCCATAAGGTGTCCCATAATTTCAACCAATCCTTGGAAATCTCCTTATCTGACTTTCTTGAGCAAGCCATTCTCGCTGTTTTTTATAAATGCTTCAAGGTCGGCCAAGCTGAGCAAAACAAACAGAATGTGAGGAGCCATTCTCCTTTCACTCCTTGAAAGGAAGATTTATTTAGTTCCCCAACATTAATAGCTATTATTATGGAAAACTCTCCATATCCTGATGGTAAGATACGACCCTCTTCAGAAGTGTCAAGGTCGCAAAGGACAAAGACTTAGCCCTCCATGATGGAGGGGGCATTACTGGGACAACTGGTGAAATGTGAGTTAAGTCCGTACTAAGTAAGTTACTACTTCCACATCAATAGTAACTTCCTTGTGTTGATAACTGTACCGTGGTTGGTTATCTAAGAGGTTATCATTTGGGAAAGTTGAGTAAAGGTGAAAGAGAATTCTTTGTACTATTTTTACAACTTTTTTTGTAAGTCTGAAATTATTTCAAAGTGAAATTATTTCAAAGTAAATATATTACAAATTATGTTGTGAATCTCAAATTATTTTTTAAAAAACTGAAAATAAACACTATGGCCTCAAAGGTCATACACACTTGGGTTTAATTTTGACACTTACTAGATGTGTAACCATGGCCAAGTCACTTAACATCTCTGAGCCTCAGTTTCCTCATCTACAAGATTGGTTATTTTGAGAGTTAAATGAGATCCATTCTTGAATTCAAAAATGTTCATTGGGCAACTATTATGAGCCCTAGCCTGCTTCCAGGTTCTGAGAATAGTATAATAAATAAGATAAAGTCTCTGTCTTTATGAAGCTTACATTCTAGTGGGAAAAATAAATGTGACACAGATCAATGAGATAAATGGTACAGTTTCACATGGCGATGAGTGCCATGAAATAAGGGCATAGAGACTAAGGTCAGAACGATTTTATATGGAGTGGTCAGTAAAGGCCTTTCTATGGAGGTGATGTTTGAGCAGAAATGTAAACAATATGAAGGAGTGAGTCAAGAAAGAAACAGGAAAAGAGCTTTCCAGGGACGGGGGCAGCATGAGTAAAGGCACTGAAGCTGGATTCAGTTTGATTCTCTTGAGGAAAAGGGGAAAGTCAGGGTAGCAGAAGCATAAGGAGAACAGAAGGGGGCACCGAGGGAGAAGACATCAGAGAAGGGCCCGCCACGGGGAGGCCTTATTGGCCATGATGAGAAGCTCGGATTTTATTCTAAGTGTGAGAATCCTGCGGAGAAGGGCATAATTTGACTGGTTTTCAAAAAGAACTACAGATGGAGGAGAACAGATTTCAGCCGGAGGTGGTGACGGTGATGGTGATGGTGACATGCGTGGGGAGACAGAACAGAAGCCAGGGGGGCACTTAGGGACTACTGTGGTTGTCTGGGTGACAGAAGATACTGGCTTTGACCCGGATGGTGGACATGAGGAGCGGTCAGATTCAAGGCAGTTTTGCGTGCAGAGCTAATAAAACCCACTAATGGGTTGGGGGAGGGGTATGAGGGAATAAAGAAATCAATAAGGACTCCTGGCAATGGGGTGAATGATGATGCCATTTAAAGAGATGGGGAAGAATTGGGGAAGACTGGGGGGGGGTTTGGAGGGAGAAGAGGGAAGGAGATAAATTTTACACATGTTAGGTTTAGGGAATTCCCTAAACCTAAGGTCTACTGCCATTAGACTACTGAAATGCCTAATGTCTAATGCCATTAGGCTACTGGACTACCTGGTGGTCCAGTGGTTAGGACTTGGCATGTTCACTGCCGGGGCCCGGGTTCGATCCCTGGTCAGGGAACTAAGATCCTGAAAGCCACCTGGCCCGGTCAAAATAAAGAAATAAATGTGTTAGGTTTGACATGCCTCCCAGACATCTAACAGAGATACTTATTAGGCAGTTGAACTTAAGTCTAGAGTTCTTAAGAGACGGGGCTAAAAATATAAATTTGGTAGTTATCAGCACACAGATTATTCAAAGTATTAGATTAAATATCACCTGGAATATGGCTGTGGCTAGAAATGAAATTCCAGGATCAAGGTTTCAGGAGTTCTAATATTTTGAGTCCTGGAGGAGATGAGCCCAGTCAAGGAGACCTCGAAGGAGGAAATCAAGAAAGTGAGGTCTCCTGAAGAAACCGTTTGGGAAGGAGGGAGTGATCAGCTGTACCAAATACTGCAGAGAGGTACAAGTAAGACGATGACTGATCATCACCATTGGATGCAGCCATATGAAAATCATCGTTGCTCTTGGCAAGACTGGTTTCAGTTGAGCAGTCTAATAAAGGCCTGACTGGAGGATAAGTTGGAGGATGCGGATTTCTGTTTCTAGCTGTATGATGTACACGATAATATGAATGACCCTTCTGCTAAGACAAAAGAAATGCTTAAGCACATATTTCAAAATCACTTAAAAATGCATCACTAAGGTGGCATGAAATTAAGGCATCTCCAGAAGCTGAAAATGTAGTGAAAGCAAGAACCCTGGGAGGTAAGCAAGGTTCAAAGCTGGCTTTCACAGGATAGTTGCTATTGAATCTTGAGCTTCTACTTTGATTCTTGATGAGAACTGGGGAACAGGTGATTAAGCCTAGGGCCCACTCAAGGTGAGGAAGCTAATAGGAAGTTGCGGGTGAAGCTGCAACGCCATTAAGGGTGAACAAGAAATAAACAGGCTGCGTGGTATGGGACAGCATGGAAACTTGCCCAAATTAACCATGACACTAGATGGACTACTGTAAGTTGAGGTACAAGTGGTCTGGGGTTGGAAGAGTCCCATGATGACCGGCAGAAACAAATGAAAATCCTTTCTGGAGGAATGCAACAAGAATCCAATCCTCAAAGGATTACTCTCCAAGGAACATGATTTTATAATCAAGTCACAAAATACATAAGGAAAGAAGTCACCATGAGTGGGAGCCAGCAGAAACAGCTGAATTAAACCTGTGAATATTTTAGATACTGGAATTCAGGTGGAGCATATAAAATAGCAATATTTAATATGTCAAAAGACAAAAGAGTTCTTGTTTAGGTGCTTTGCTTTACGATTTCTGACCCACATACCAGGAGCAAAGGCTTTCCCTGCAGTTTCCCAGACATCTATTCAAGATTTACTAAGAAAAACAACTTCATCCTTTTAAGTATGATATATCAGTTTGTACAGAAATGCTTTCTTTAGGAATCACCCTTCAGAAGCCTAGATAAACTCTTACATTCTCAACAGGTCACCGTGCCTTATCCTGGCCCCAACTGCCTTTATGTTCAAGCATAAATTCAGCATTGTCTCATAATCAGGAATGGAGGTGATTTCAGCGGCTTTCCAAATATGCCCAGAATCTGTGATAGTGTGTGGACCTTTGTATCAAATGATGGATTCAAGAAGTGACAAAACTTACTGAAGTGGATAATATGAAAATTATGGCCTGTGATGGCATTATTTTGTGAATTGTGGCCTCTCCCGTTGCAGAGCACAGTCTCCAGAGGCACAGGCTCAGCGGCCATGGCTCACGGGCCCAGCTGCTCCGCGGCATGTGGGATCTTCCCGGACCGGGGCACGAACCCATGTCCCCTGAATCAGCAGGCGGACTCTCAACCACTGCGCCATCAGGGAAGCCCGAAAAGAAACTTTTAATATGTGCTCTAGCAATGCAAAAATGATCATACTGTGCTATGTTAGCGGGCAATTCCAGTAGAAGGAAGCTAATAATTTTCCATAGGCCTTTATGTTAACTTTGATCTATGGCAAGAAGAAACAAACCATTTTTAGGCTGACAAATCAAAAGTTATCTTAAGATTATCCTCTAGTAAATGTATTCTAAAACTTGAAAAATGAATAAATAAAAAAGAAGGAATTTGAGCAAAGAACAGGAGGGTATAAAAATGAGTAAGCAAAACTGTAAAATAACCAAATATAAGATCTAAAAATGGAAAGTATAATTAAAATTTAAAGCTCAATGAATGGATTAAACAAGAGATTTAGACAACACTAAAAGAGAGAATTAGGCTGCTGTTTGATAAAAGTGGAGAAATTATTCAACTGCAGTAAAGAAAGACAAACAACTGAAAACTGAAAATTATTCAAATACATGGGTGATATTTAAAAGTGTATAAGTGTAACAAGTGTAATAAGAGGTCCAGAAGGAGGTAATAGAGAGAATGGGCAGGAAGCAATCTCTGAGGATATCTTGGCTGAGAATTTTCTTAAATTAATGAAAGACACCAAATATAAGATCAAGGAAGCCCAACAAATTCAAGGTGAAATTAATATAAAGAAACCCTCACATAAGTACATCAGTATGAAACTGCAGATTACCAAAAGTGAAAAAAAATCTTAAAATTAGCTGCAGAGAAAAGACGGATTTCTATTAATAAAAAAACCCCTAAGTTGATGGCTGACGATGCAACACCAAAAATGAAGCCAGGACACAATGGAATAATATTTTCAATAGGCTTACAGAAAATATGTTATCCTAGAATTCTCTCTTCCACATATCAATTTTTTCAAGAACAAGGGCAAAATACATGCATTTGGAGAGAAAAAGAATGAGAGTTTTACCAAAAGAACCTCATTAACGGACCTTCTAATGACTACAATTCAGATAGCGTGTCTGTAATGTAGGAAGATGGAATGAGCAAAGATATTGGTAAATATGTAGATAACTTTAAATAAACAGCTGAGTATATGAAAATAAAGTATGATTTGTGGAGTTTAGATAAATAGCAGAGAACAATTCTAATTACTTGGAATTATAGAATATAATTTGATGTATGAACGGTTGAGATCAAACTAAAGTCCTTGTATTGGTTGTGAAAAGAGTAACGGTACTGATTAGTTTATTCCTTTTAAGAATGTTTTTTAAAATAGCTATGGTTAACTATTAGAAAAGAAGACTTAGATAGCACAACATCCAAATTAGCAGAAGGGAAAAAATGGAATAAGAAAAAGGAAAAATAAAAGAAAATATTTTAAAAAATGCAACCCAAAGCAGGCAAGAAAGAAAACAAAGAAAAGAAGAACAAATAGAGAGGACACAATAAAATGGTACAAATGAATTCAAATATAGCACAACAGACATTAATGAACAAAATGCTC